GGAATTAATTTGTGGAACAGCAGACTTTGCCTTTAAATAAAAACATGCTGATTCTTAAAGAACTACATCCTTTAGCTTTCCATCTTTTCAACCACTGACTATGGGTAATATAGAAAATATTTATGTGTTCAAGGTTCCTGCAGAACTGCTTGACCAGGATCTGAACAGAGAGTGCTTTGGGAAAATGCCTAAGAAATTATTTGAGATAGAAACAAGAACGGGTCAATCTAAGAACACTTAAGTTCTTTATGATTTAAAGCTGTACTTTTCTCTCTAAAAATGCCATAGAGAAGAACAGTTTCCAGCATGAACTTTTTAAGTCAGCTGACCTTTAAAACTTAAGCATATGCTTGGCACTCCAACAATACAAAACACTACTACAAAGATTCAAATTAAATATAAATATAGACATTTTACTGCAGCTGAAAATCTTACTACATATTATGAGACAAAGTGTCATACTCAACATCAGAAAACAGAAAAAGTTACATTTTGATACAAAAACTAGTTATATTTTCATAATGTCTAAGCAATCAGTTAAGGAAACTTACCAATGAGGACACTCTTTGTCCAGTTATTAAAGTTTCTGAGGTAGAAAATGCGAGACTGGCTACGTTTTTCCAAACCAACTTCTTGAAGTTCATTATAATGTGCAGCTACAGCTTGCCCATGGCCAATCACATGCTGCAGAAAGGAAATCACACCACAGAAAGAACAGACTCAAGCACTGAATTCTTTTTATTACTTAGTCATTCAATCAAAAGACACACGTGTTCACTTCAAGGATTTAAGAAGGCAAACAAGCAATACTATAAAGAGCACCATCATTATAAACAGATTGCACATATCTGTCCTGGTACTGATGTCAGTACTTCAATTATCAAAGCAACACTCACAAACTTAATCCCCTTTTCAGTTCATTCAAGCAATTTCTGGATGAGAGATTTTGCCCAGCATCTTTCCTTCACAGAAATACTTAACTTTCAGTTCTCTAATACTCTCAACCATGCTCAAAGAACACATTTCATTCTTCTTAAGTCTGGGACAGAAGAAGAGGATGTTCCTTCTCAAGGAACTTTAAGCCTCTTCAAAGAGCCTGTTTCAGAAATTCAGTGTTTTCATCTGACAGAAGTGTATAACAAAATGCCAACTGGCTAATGTCACATTAAGGTCCAAGTGGATGACCCCACTGCCAAAGATTTAAACAGACCATGATAAAGGAATGTCAATCCTTTGACAGCACATTGCATATAATGCTTAAGAGTTAGCTGTAGAAATGTCTCTGATTTAGCCTTAACTCAAAATACAAAGATTTCTGTCCAGCCTTAGCTTTAAGTAGTACAAGACACTTCTCTCCCCTGTTACGCAGAGAAGCATCCTATCTACATCAGATATTATGCTCCCAACATTTCTTCACCCTGAAAATCATCTTCAACTATATACATGAAGTTAAAATAAATAATAAATAAAATCCAAAGTAACAGAACCAACACATGGACACAACCAGCATGGACTCTACAAGGTACAAAAGCATTTGAAATAACAGTACAAATCAGAATGAAGCCATTATAAACATTCTTAACAGTTCACTACAGAAGTCAATATCTCTGCATCTTACTATTCAAAGAGCAGTTCCTCAAGGGAAAAGAAGGTTTGGCTGATACAAGTGAATTCTTCAGTGTTTCATACACTTTTCGTAAGATCCAGAATGAACACAGTTTTACTTGTCTGAAATCTTTATAACCTCATCATCTGTTTATTACCACACTGGGCTGACCGATACAAACAAATATTTTGACGACTTCTGTTCTTTCTCAGGGTAAGCACAGATGGCTCCCTGAATGGCCACTGAAGGTGACAGAAGCTAGAACAGCTGACTCAGACAAGTGTGGGAGACATACTCATACAAACCATTAACACATCTCAGCTGCAAACAGCCATCAGCAACAACATCTAGATGGTGGCAGCTATGTTCAGTCACCTCTCTCCACCCTTAGGCAACACAAACCCAAGGTAGTTCCTGCTCACCTAAGCCTTCTCCCCCCTTACTAAAACAATGAAAGGGTTAATAATGTTTCTACCACAACAAAGGAACCCTTTACTTTGCCATTCTGCTAAGCATATATTAATTAATATACTGGGAGAATTCTGGGCAGATAAACAGAACATTAGGTCAGACATTATCAAATTATATTTAAATATCCCAAAAGGATTAACCAGACTGGATATTAAAGCATCAGCTTCTACAAGCTCATACATAATAAAGGACAGCATCATGTAAAACATTACCCTTTTCACCCTCCCAGGTGGACATATAAAAGGACATTTACATTTTCTGCTGCTGCTGTAGTCTTAAAATACAAAGAAGCGCCGGTAAGTCTTTCACTGCTTCACTTTGCCAACAAACCACACAGAAATTATACCACAGAGGATGCAGTCTGTTGAGTTTTGCAAACTACACAGTACCTTACGAAGGAAATAAAAGGACAAAATTACCTAATGGAAGAACTGCCCAAGCACAGGTAACTATGCCAACACACAGACAAACAACATGCATGAGAAGTGAGTTCAAGATATGGAACTGGGACTAAGGCCTACACTACACCAACAGATTGCTACCACGTAGAGGATGCAACAGTCTAAGAATTAGACTAAGTATGTGCTGAGATTATCATTCTAATTGCCAGCCTCTTTTTCCTCTGTAAAGCCCGAAATCACTTGTGTACCTGTTATTTCCCTAGGAAACATTTCCATACTTCGTGTTTTGTGCTGGCTCACACGCATCTAGCACAAACATTTTCAACCATTCCTTTGAAATAAGGATTTGAAAACAGCTCAAAATAAATGATACTCACTACTTTCTTAGAAGGTTCATCTTCAGAATCTAAATTCTTCCTCTTTGCTCTGCCGTTCTGATCACCACTATCAATGTCTTTGTCATTTTCAGTGGACTGCTCTGTACCTGAAGCAGAACTATTGCCTTCACACTCGACACCTGAAGCTGACTCTAAAGCGTGAGGTGTTTTCTCCACTTCTTCCAAACTCTTCTCTACTTGCTGTTCTTCTGTCTTGGTTACTTCAGCCATTTTGACTGGTCCACTGATCAGAATGGAAATCTAGAGGGAAAAGAAACAAAACACCAAGAATTTTTCAGTGCTGAAAATTTCATTTACTTGTGGTTACGATCATGACTTTCGAACATGATGTTGATATTTCACCCTAGGCAACATACAGTCTTCAAATTTGACCAGATGTTTAATAAAGACAGTTCAATAAAATATGTGGAACTTAAAAGTTCTCATTAAAGAAGTTCAAATTAAGATAAATTGATACTTTTAATTTTAGAGTCATTCTTACATATCTTTATTGACTCAACTGCCAAATGTTATTGGGTTTTTTCTTTCCCTTCCCATAAAAGGTAACCTACAAATCAGTTTATGTTTAGAAACACAGAGATGCTCTCTCAAATTAGTAAATTTGTTATTTCAACTGACATGCTTTGAAATGGATGTCTTCAAATAAAAGATCAAGATGGGTTTTTGAGAGCAAATTTTCTTACCAGTTGTGGTTTTTCCAGTTTGCCAAGAATATCCAGTATGCTCTGCGCTTAACTAATATGTGGAATATTCAGGCACACCTGTATTTCCACATCTCCACCTCACAAATACCTAAACAGGCTGCAGGACTGCAAACAACTGCTACAAAGCTCATCTGGTCTCCAGCACATCCCAGCCTTCTTTACACCAGCACTGGGAAGCAGAGCACCTACTTTGTAACAAGGTATGGGAAGGGCAATTTAGCACCTCCTGTTCTGAAACAGTGGCCTAAATCACCAAAAATTAAAATCCAAAAATCACATTTAAATCCACCGTATCCAGGCTCACCTCCTAATGAGGGCCAGAACACATCCACTGAGTGGGCCACTACACAGAGGCGCCAGAGCAGCTTTCCTCAAAACAAATGGCCTCGAAGTACGACTTACAAAAATAATTCTTCCACTACTGCACAGCACCACAGCGCTTGGTTTGCGAAGCAGCAGCAGCCCCTTCGTTATCCTCAGCCAGCTATTCCAAGATGTTTTGAAAGCCCAAATTGTGAAACGATCCGACTTTCACAACTAGCGATGGCAGCCAAAGGAAGCAACGGCTCCTTCAGCCGGAGCGCTCAAAACGCCTGGAGTGATGTGGGAATGGCCCCGCCAGCCCCGGGACGCTCCCGCCCCCTTCTTTCTTCCTTCCCTCCTTCCCTTCCCCCATGACGCGGCGGGGAGGCCTCAGGGTCTCCGCTCCCGTTACCCGGGCGGCGGCGCCCGTCGCTTCTCTGCGGCCCCCCCGGCCCGGCCGTCCGGCGAGGCCGAGGGCCCCGGGCGCCGCCGCCGCTCCGCCCGCGGGCAGGGAGGGCGGCCCTGCACTGACCCGGCCCGGCACTCACCCGGCTCAGCGCTCCGCCATCCCTGTTTGCGGAAGTGACGAACTCCCACGGCGGCGTCACGTCCTGGGAGGGACCGCGAGGAAAGGGAGCGGGAACACGTGGCTGTGGCTTGTGAGGGGCGGCTGGAGACGAGGAGGTCTCATGGGGGACCTCATCGCTCTCTACAACTGCCTGACAGCAGGGTGTAGTGAGCTGGGGCCAGTGTCTTCCAACGCGCCTGCTCTGAGAGAGGGGAGATTCCGATTAGATACTGGAACAGCTTTTTCACTGTTAGGATGCTCAGGCGTTGGAATAGGTTGGCCAGGGAGGTGGTGGAGTCGCCCTCCCTGGAGGTGTTTAAGAGACGCCTGGACGTGGCGCCGGGTGATTTGCGTTAGGGGGTCACAGTGGCAGTGCCAGGTTGACGATTGCACAGGGTGCTCTCGAAGGTCACTTCCAACCTCGGTTCTGTGGAAGGTGGCGAGTCCGAGCCGGGGCAGAGAGACTACGAGTCCCAGGAGGCTGTGCGAGGGAGGGGCGGTGCTCGCGCCTGCGCAGTGGGAGGGCGCCGCCGGGCCTGAAGGTGATGGTGGGGACGGGTGCCGCCGCACGTTGCGCGGGGCGGGCGGCGCGGGGGGGTGTGACGGGAGCGGCCGTTGGTGGCAGCGGCGCGTGCCCGAGGCTCGCGGGGCCCCTGAGGAGCGGCGCGGGGCGGCACGAGGTACCCGCGCGGCGGGGCGGGAGCGGGAGCGGCGGGACCCACGGGATCGGGACGGATCCCCCACCGCCCCGGCTTGTGCGGGGATTGGGCTGCTGGCGCCTTCCTCCCGGCTGCCTTCCCTTTGACGAGCCCGCCTTGCCCGGCGTTGAAGGATGTCGGCCGCGACACAAGAAAGTGGCGTGGGAGATTTGGGTTTTGGTAGGGAGATGACGCTGGATGGGCCTGGCTGTTCCGTGGTGGGCTGCTGCTGCAGCGTCTGGGTGGAAAGGAAGAGATTTGGGGACGGGAGCTCAGGCTGTGACTTCTTCACGAAGGGCAGCGGCGATCCCGGCTCCCCGGTGCCCAGGGACCCAAGGGAACGGCACGAAACTGTCAGAGGAAGTTTAGGCGGGATATTGGGCGTAGGTTCTTCTCCCAGAGGATGTTTGGGCACTGGAGCAGGCTCCCCAGGGAAGTGCTCACAGCTCACAGCACCATCCCGGCAGAGCTCAAGCGTTTGGCCATAGTGTCAATCACAAGGTGTGATTCTTGGGATGTCCTGTGCAGGGCCAGGAGCTGGCCGTGCAGAGGACATCGATGATCCTGATGGATCCCTTCCAAGTCAGCATATTCCATGGTTGTGCACAGGACATCGATGATCCTGATGGATTCCTTCCAAGTCAGCATATTCCATGGTTCTGTGTTACAACTGAAGGACCGCGGGTGGCTTATGCCTCTTAAGGGGGTTCTCTTCTAGACCTGTGTACGTCTTTTCAAAAAGCTTGAAGTGGCTATAAAAATGTTTTATTGTCTTATGTTATGTTTCTCATTAGTAATTCACTCCTGTTAATTAAGTATATCCAGGGAGTCAGACAGAGAAGTCTTCAGAATTTTTGTTAATGCTGTTACATGAAACATGGATCTATGTCAGCTAATACAAACTACTTCAGCCTCACCAATGTCAATTTCCAAAACTCTAACAACTGTCCTGAAAAAGAAAACATTACTTTGGGCAGTAGTACATGAAGTGTCCTAGAATTCCTTACCAAAGCCAGTTCTTAAACTGAAAGTGTTCTTCAGCTTACCCCAAGGTGTCATTGCTGTTACAAGTGTAAACGCAAAATGGTTTGCCAAAGTTTTGCTGCTTTGGGAAGAGATAGGGCGCAGGTTCCTCGTTTGGAATGTGTTTTGCTGCCTGTGCTTGTATGACTTGCAGCTGCTTCAGTGTGGGAATTGCATGCACAGAGGATTGTATGTCCCCACCGTCCATCTCCTGTGGGGCTGACAAGCAGGTGTTTATCTCCTTTTCTGTTTAATGGCTGTTTGAGGTAAAAGGGGTATCACTGACCCTTGTGGCAGCGTTACTGAATTGCACTCACTGCCTAAGAGGCACTTCATCAGGGAATTAAAAAAAAATCATTTGATGATTTGGGTAGGTGGATATCAGGTGGCTTGCACATGGCAAAAACTGTGTAGATAAATTCAGACTGTTAAGGAGTATGTAAGGAATGTAAGAAGTTTAAGATTTGTCTGGTGTGACTGTCTGTAGGTCTGCTTCACAGTCTATAGCAGCTGCAAGAAAAGTTTTGATGTGGTTTGGTTTTTAAAAAATTCTGTGTAGTTCTCCTGCTGTAGATGGTCTTTTCTGTGCAGGTAAAGCACCCCAGCTCTTGTGTATGCTCATAGGTATCCCTTGGAAACTGAAGTCTTGTTTTTGCAAGGCAGGGAATTCTTGATGTCCCCTAATGTCAGATAAGAGCCCTCAGTTTGCATCTTGGCACATTTCTGGATCTGTGGGGAGTTTTTTCTAGTCTTGAAGACAAGGGCATGAGAAATTCAACAACAAGAGCAGGAAGAACACTGATTTTTAAAAATGTAAAACTGCTAATGGAATCTCAGCAAATTCCTTGTAATCAGTTTAGTCCTGCAGGTTGGAAAGACAATCCAACATAGTTCTTTTTGGTGTTAAATCGGATAGTTGAAGATGAACTTATTTTCAAAATTAGATGCTGAAGCAAATTCATAATTGTCAATATTCCAGTATTAGGAATGGAATAAAATCACTGAAAGGACTGAGACCTGGGCCCAAAACCTGATGGAAATCTTCTTGGACAGCCAGATGTCATCAGAATGGATCATAAGGATTTCACCTTGATATGCTGATAGGTAACTACCTAATCCATAACTTTAGATCAAGGATCAAACTCAGGGTCAGAGATTCTTAATGACTATTATGTGCCCTTAGTCAGTTTTTTCACTTGAGATTAATGGATTGTGCAGTGTGACAATAACAAAAAAGAGCACTGTTTAAGTTACAGAACTTTTTCTTAATTTTTGAGTCTTGAATCGTGGCACCTCTGAAAAACACACATCATTCTTCATGTCCCTGTCGCTATAATAAAACTCCAGTGAGAATAAAATGTTATTAGTCAGTTTAAAAATTTTTATGATCTATTCTGACGACACCTGTGATTCTATTTTCATCAATTTAGTTGAGTCTTGAAGGTGCCAGTACAGGTGTGTTAAGTCCAACACACTTTGTCCATATTAAATTTTGTTCAGAAAATTGTGTTTTAAGCAGGGTCTGACAGGCCAGAATGGTGTGCCTACTTAGGACTTCTTGTCTGGTAAGGACTGAAGCCACATCTTCTTTTAGGTATTGGCATTACACAGTAGGATTTACTCCGTTTGGAACTTTGTGCTTCCTCTAAAAAACTCCAACCCTGTGTAGCCCAGTGCCTTCCATCACTCAGTTTTCCTCTCATCCTCTTCAGACAGGCCACATTTTTTGTTATGTTTCCAGACACGACCCTTCTCCTTCGAAATAAATTCATCTGAATGGTAAAGCTCTGTTTGTGCACGTCAGGAAATGAAAGGGACACTTAGATGGGCTATAAATTTTAATTCCCTGCATCTACTGTTTTATCTTGTCCCGAGAATTGACCTTGACTCTGTGTAACAGTTCTTGTGTAAACCAAACAAGGTGTGTGGCTGTGATTGTGGCTTTGTGGAACGTTGCAGCAGATGATCCCCTGCAGCTCTTTAGGACTTGCCATGTCCTTGAGGTGGGGGATGGAGGAAGGGAATGGTTGTTAATACAGTCAGGCACTCATAAACAAATTATAAAACAAATCAATAGCTTTTTTTCTGATGGCTGAATTTTGTTGGTGGGAAATAAAAATGCCTGAGTGGTTTCACAAGAATTCAGTGAGTCTCTTCTAAAAGTGGATGGTGAAAGATTTTAGTAAAATGTGACAGCACTTACCTTTAACGGCAGTGGTAGTGCTTAGCCCCAGTGTGTACCAGACAGTTAACTATTCACTCTTAATATTTTGTGAATTTAAAAACTGGCTTTACTGATGTTAAAATTAGATGGCATCCTTTGCTTCCTGCTGTCTCAGGCCATAGAACAGTACTTTCTGATGAGAGATGTTTCTCTGCTGAACCACAAGCCTTGGGCCGTGTTGATGACATCTGGCAGAAAGCAGTGTGCTTGCAAAGGTTGCAGTGTTGCAGTCACAGGATTCCTTTCCCAATCTGAATACAGCACTGCTGTAATGCTGCTGCTTCAGACTGTGAACAGGAATGTTATTAGGGTTCTAATACTGAAGTTTCAAAAGAGCTCCTTCTGGTGTAAAGACACAGCTCTCTGAATCTGATGCACTTTCAGACACTTGTAGATGGTGTAATTTTGTTGTTTGCATGTCCTCTGTGCAAGAAATGCTGTGTAAGGCAGTAAACTGAATGGGCAAGAAGGTTTAGCCATTCAGGTATTGAGACCTTAATCAAAATAATACTTCTCTTGTAAGAACTGTTCACGCTCATTTGTAGAGATGTTGGGAATAGTGTTTACTGAAAATTAGATGAAGACTGTGGTTTTGAGTGTGTGTGTGTTCTGTAAATGTTATGATCAGCCTCTTCACACATAATTTTTCAAGATATTCTGATTGATACTGCACATATTTCCCCATATGGAGAAATTTGAATTCACAACAGAGAATTCAGCACTTACTTTGAATATTTAGAAAAGATTTATACTGGAAGTGAATGTCTGCCAACAGTAATTCTGCTGAAAGATGAATGTTCTGTATTTTTTGCTGGGAAAAAATGACAGCTTTTCAGTGTTTGAAAGTGTGAAATAGATGTGGTGAGAGAATAAAAGAAAAAAATCTTGAACCCAATGCTTCCACTGTGAGTTCTGTTTTTATGGAAGCTGGGATGTTTTTCCAGTTTCATGCTGGTTTACTTTTATTCCTACTTTGTTTCTAATTGTAAGGCTTCAGAGTTCTTCCTTGAGAATGTTTTTTGGACATCTTTAGAAGCATTTTGGGTTAATTTGATGAGTAAAAGACTTGGTACTTTGAGGTTGTTGTTTTAAGTGCCTTATAAAATTATTACATAATATCATTTGCACTTAATGTATTATTACAGATAGTACTGTTGCTTTCTGTTGGGTTGTGGAGAGAAGAAGCACAACAATGAGGCAAGACCTGTAAAGATCCTAGGTGGCAAAAATGGCATTTATCAAGGCTAGAAAGGAAACAGGTTTGGTAGTCACTCTGGAAGGTGAGGCAGAAGGCTGTACAAAGCTCATTCTAAGGTCGAAGTTTAAGCATATTCCTTATAAATGCCTTTTATAATTAGTCAAGATAAAGTATTTGAATATCTAAGGTCTTATTCTGTGGTTTGGTGTGGTGGTTTCATTCTGGCTGGATGTCAGGTGCCCACCAAAGCTGCTCTACCCCTCCCCTCCTCAGCTGGGCAGGGAAAAGAAAATACAAGGAAAAGCTCTTGAGTTGAGGTAAGGGCAGGGAGAGATCAGTCATTGCTCGCTGCCGTGGGCAAAACAGACTCAGTGTTGGGAAATTGATTGAATTTATTATCAATCAAATCAGAGTATGGAAATGAGAGGTAAAACAAATCCTAAACATTTCTTCCTGGCATTCCTCCTTCCTTACTGGGTTTAACTGTACTCCCAGTTCTCTCCCTGCTCTTCCTCTCAGTGGCACAGGAGGACAAGGAAGGGGGGTTACAATTCGTTCATCACACGTGGTCTCTGCCACTGCTTTCTCTACTGGAGGAAAATTCTTCCCCTGCTGCAGCAGAGCGTTCCTCCCATGGCAGACAGTCTTCCACAAACCTCTTCAACATGAATCCTTCCCATGAGCTGCAGTTCTTCATGAACTGCTCCAACATGGGTCGTTTCATACTGTGCACAGTCCTCCAGGAGTAGCCTGTTCCAGCATGGATCCCCCATGGAATCACAAATCCTCTCAGCTAACCTGCTCTAGCACGGACTTCTCTTGCCCCAGGTCCTTACAGGACCTTCTGCAGTGTGGGTTTCCTGCAGGGTCACAGCCTCTTCCTGGCATCCACCTCCTCTGGTATGGAGTCCTCCACAGGCTGCAGGTGGATCTCTGTTCCTGTCTGGACCTCCATGGGCTGCAGGGACACAGCTCCCTCACCGTGGTGTGTATCACAGGCTGCTGGCTTGTCTCAGCTCCTGTGCCTGGAGCACCTCTCCTTCCTCTTTCACTGACCTCGGTGTCTGCAGGGCTGTTCCTCTCACATATTCTCACTCTGCTCTTCCCTGGCCTCAATTACATCTCTGCAACAAATTTTTTTCCTTCCTAACCATGTTATCCCATGGCTCTACCACCATCACTGATGGTGTCAGCCTTGGCCAGCAGTGAGTCTGTCTTGGAGCTGGCTGGCATTGGCTCTCTCAAACATGGGGGAAGCTTTTGGCAGCTTCTCACAGAAACCACCCCTATAGCCCACCCTCCACCAGAACCTTGCTGCACAAACCCAACAGATCTGGGCAAAAAGGCTGAACTTTATTTGTGTCAGCACCATCTGTCTTTGTAAAAGTCACTGTATCTGCAGCGTGTCTCTAATTGTTTCATTACATTTTTCGTGAATAAATATTTTATTACAATTCCAGAGACTTTAAAAATTAATTATTATAATCCACATTGTCTATATCAGTGAATAGAAAAAATATGAATTAAAAAATTACCTTGAATTCTAGAATCCAGGTTGCAAGTAGCAGGAAGTCTTGAGCAAGAGTTCAGTTTTTGCCAGCAACTTTTTGACTCTCATTGATGACTCTATTAGTGAAGAGAGATGTGCACTGCAGCTCTGAATTTCATCATAAAAGAAATATCTGAGCTCTGAACATAGAACTAATAACCATATTTCCAATGAGTTTCAGCATATGTTAAAGTGTAGAGTCAAAACACTTGAGATGCTCAGTCAGTTGAAAGAGGTGAGGAATTTGTCAAATAAAATACAATTGAGTAAAGTACTATTGAGAGGGAAGATACTAAGAGATTCTCGTATAATGTTTTGATGAAGTGTGGAAAACTGATCTGTGTATTTTTTGTTTGTGTTTTAGCATCTAACCTCTCATCAGTTCAGTTGTGGGTTGGTGTTTTTTTTTTCTGAGGGAGTTCAGAGTCATGTGCAGGAAACTGCAGATCTGAGGCTTGCTTATGTGAAGTCCCTTTCCAGCCCCTGTTCGTTATCCAGTGGAAGCTTTCCACTGCTTTGTAAACCAAACCACTGCACACATGCCCCTGCAGCCCCCACACCTGCACGTCAGGGGCCCTGTGGCTGAAAACCCTGTGAGAGACAGCCACAAGTGTTTTAGGAGGAGTGAACTAATGATACCTTGGGAGATACAAAGACAGAAGAAGCTGTTAGGATTCAGAAAGTTACTACCTGAGTGGGTTAGAAAGAGAATCAGATCTTATTTTGATCATTAGCCTAAAGTGGAAGGTAGTGTGAAGAAGCAGATGAATACAGCCCCTGCTATTAACTAACATAAGGCTTTTCTTTGACCTTTTTTCAGCAGATATATAATATGCCTATTTTTAAGCTTAGTTGCAATCTATAAGCATGCCTTTTTTTGACCTTTTTTCAGCATAGATATATAATATGCCTATTTTTAAGCTTAGTTGCAATCTATAAGCATAATTTCTCTGCCTACCTTATTGCAGACATGTCTGTAGATGACAAATGGACCAAAAAAATCAAACCAGATACCACTTTAAAAGCTAATTTTTTCCTTGACATGTACCTATAATCTGAGAGGCTCTGGGACTAATACAGAGGATGATCCAGCAACACTTGTCGGATGGAATCGTACGCAGCAGAAACCTTTTGTGTTAGTAGTATGAGTTGTACTTACGTAAAAATTCAGTAGAGGGCAGAACGAAACTTGTGAAAGAAGGAACCAGTGCTAACAGATGGAATAGCACCAGTTATTAAAAACAGTTCTGAAGAGCAGAAAGCACTACAGCTGATTGTGATCCTTTCTTTTGGAAGCATTTGAGAGAGAGCATTCACATTTTCATAATGGTCAGCTACATGCAATCTTAAGATCCAGTACTTTCCGTCACAGAGGAAAATGGAATTACCATGGACATATTGACTGTACTGTTAAGGCTACTGTTTAGCATTCCAGGTGTATAACTCAACACACGGGCATTGCATTATGTTCTCCTGCTTTATTTGTCTTTTGAATCCAGTGTGCAGACTTTACACGTCTGCAATATCTTTTATTCTTCCTTGACCTACTTCTTCTTTTCCTTTTGAGTATCAGAAGATTGTAGCAGTGAAGATTACTTGGTGTGTAAGGACTGTGGAAAAGTTTATTTTACTTTTTTGATTTTGCTCAGGGTGTTTTAGCAAGAAGAGTATTTTAGGTAAAATAAGACTAACAAAGTTGTTGGCTTATCTCCACTTAGCAGTATTGGGTTGTAATAATGAGATCAATTAAAAAAAGTATAGTGTAGCATTTACTAAGTGAAAACAGTATAGATGTAGGGTGGGGCTAATGCTTTAGGGTCATCTGTCTGCAAGAGTTTAGTCTTATTTGTTTTAACATGATTTTACCAAGTTTCAGATAAATTCCACTGTGATTTATTTTGCATTACTCCTTTTAGCCTAAAATGTGGTGGTGTTTTTTAGACAGTCCTGAATGGTAGACAAAACTACACAGCTAATGATACCCAAACTTCAGATTATAAGCAAGTTTCTTAGTTTAGAATGAATTACAGATAGTTTGAGTGATACTGCAAAAGTAGTAAAAATGAAAACAGAAATTCTAAATGTTCATTCATGCACTCAAGGTATTAATACAAAGCATAAAAAATCCCCGTGCACTGCCACTTTCCCATCTGTGGTTAGTGACTCCATGCTTTGGAGCATGGGACTCCAACCGCATGAATGAACATTTATACAAAGCATAAAAAAATCCCTGTGCACTGCCACTTTCTCATCTGTGGTTAGTGACTCCATGCTTTGGAGCATGGGACTCCAACCCTTTGCAGTTACCAAGAGGTTTGTAGTTTTATTTTACATTGAATTTAAGAAAAATAATGCTTTGCATGTATTGCATTAGTCTTAAAATGATGTTAAAATATGTTCCCAGATTTTTAGGACGCTCATATATGTTTTCAGTTGTGGTTTTCCTATTTTCTTATTTTGGTTTGTAAGCTTGGACTCATATATGTTTTCACTTCAGTTGTGGTTTTCCTATTTTCTTATTTTGGTTTGTAAGCTTGGCGAAAACAGTTTTGGGGTTTTTTAATATATACTGTCGATGAGTTCTTGAAAAGAACAAGTTAAATCTGAAAACAAGCTTTGGGATGTTTATTATGTTTAGGAAAAATCTAAGCAATATGGTGGTTTTGTTTATTAAACTGAGCTGCTTGGATGAGATCTCTGCTTTTTATGCAATCTGAAAGATGAGTTGAAAAGGATTTCTGAAAACTTGGTTTGTTTCCTTTCAAAATTCTGTTCTGTCTGCCACACACAATTCTCAAAGTTTTCTAGATTTTACACTAAATATGACAAGAATGTAAATTAATTCTCTGTTTCCATAGAAAGGTGCCTTGGGAGTAGAAAAAGCTCATGGATTTTCATTGGGAACTCTCCTGTGGTATAATTAATGTTCTTTTTTTAAACAGTAACAGAACAAGTGAAGATGCTTTAAAGTCATCCATATTTACATATTGTGTCCAGAGTGTTTCTGGTATAACTGAGAAAATAATCTAGTGTTCTCTACATATACTATACCCTCAATTCCCTCAGATGCTTTCTGACCTCTTTTACAAAAGAAGTTAACACTAAAGTTTTTGCCATTGTCTTTACACTAAAGTTTTTGCCATCTTTTATGCACCACCACCTTCTTATATTTTAATTTTTCTGGTAACTCAACATTAATTGTAACAGGGTAGCCAATTTTATACAAATTATCCTGATGAAAGTTTCATCTGACAATATCTCTGACATGTTTTCTCTTTCCAAGAGTAAATATCCACAGCAGCCTTTGCCATACCTATATTGGCCAGGCTTGTTACTTCTGTGTTTTCCAAAGATCTTCCGGAGATTTTTGGCATAGAATGTTAGCCCACAGCCAAAGCCAGTGGCTTTGTGACAGTCACATAAACCAGCTCTGTGGCATTTAACATTCCTGAGCTTTTATTGTCCTCAGGAACAAAAAGCAAATATAATATCTACTTCCTAATTACCACTGGAAAGTAGAGCAAATGCAAGAGCTAGGATGCTCTTTCAGTATATCAGATTTATGCCAAAGCTGATCTGAATTGTAACAGAAGTACAGAAGTTTCCTAAACAAAACCTTCAGCACTGCAATGAGAAGCTGATCTATACTTAAGAGGCCCCTAGAGCACTCCCTTTATGTCAGAGGCCTTGTTAACAGCTCACCATGAGACAGGGGTGCCTTCAGGAATTAAATGGATGTCCAAGGATCCCAAACAGGAGTTTGTGTTGAAAAGCCATTATATCTACAGCTCAGTTTACAATCTGCTGGAGATCCTACTAAATAGTTAGCTGGGATGTGACAGTGCTGAAGAGACCGTACCACAAGTGTCTGTATAGCATTTCATGGTTTCTGTAGCTAATATCTATTCCATCACTGACCACATGGAATTCTTGGAGCCGAGAACTTGAGTTATATTTTTCCATAGACAGATTTTTTTTCTTTGTGACATTTTTAAGAGAAAACTAATAAAGTAATCTAAGATGCTTTAAAGCACCTTTCCCCCTGCTCCCACCCCACAGACAAGTGCTTTCCCATCTTGGTATTTGGAGCTTGTACCTTCTTGTCATTTTCTGTACCTTTGCAGCGTGATGTAACAGCAGGAAAAATGTTAAGCACACTAAAATGAAGAAACAACTTTTCAAAAGTCTCTAGGTGCAGTTGTGGGTAACATTCAGGTTACTGTCCTGACATCCTTGGAATCTGAGTGTTTTTAACAACCTAGGTATTTTTCAGTAGTGTACTGGTGAACTGTAGAAGTCTGTCTCAAGAGCCCCAGGTTCCCATAGGGTGGATGCCTTTTGCTGAGTCTGCTGGCTGGATATTGAGAAAATCTACTTAGGGCAGACGCTCAGTGCTGTGTACTATTAGTGAGAGGGGAAAACAGTTCTCTGTGGGGAATATTATCCCTCAGGAAAGAACTGCAAGTGGCAGTAGGCAAGGAATGCAGTTGTCGTGTTCCAAGTTTGTTGTTACAATTTCTGTAAATCAGTTAAGTAGTTGGCATATGATAGAGTGCCATCTGAACACTTGAGTTTTACTGAGTGTTTTCACTACTTCTTGTTTTGAGAAGCAATTGCATTTGGATTTCAGAAGTAAGCAAGAATCTCTGCTTCTTGTAAAACTAGAGATACCACAAAAAATTGCGGCTTCCAGTGAAGTCTTACAAAAAACTGAGTCATGGAGGGCCAGTACCTGTAGCTGATTTACTGCTCCATGAGCAGCAGCAGCACTTCTTGACTCCCACCAAGTTCATAACTCAACAGGAAAGAGTAACTGCCTCCTTAATATAGAGACACAAGTTCCTTTTTCCCCATTGATGCAGTGCCTCCTGTTAGCAGGAGTTCAACAAAAGTGTGTGTCTGTGTGTCACAAGCAATGCAGAGGTTCCCAGGGAGTTTGAAACCTGGGAATTCGTCTTCTCCCCACATCAAACATTGTAATTCTAGTAATTGCCATTAATTCAAGTACAACAGTAGCATAAAACTACCTAGAAAACATACAGGCAGGACTGTTCCAACAGATCCATTTGGATTGTGAAACTTTCTTCTCTTGGAAGAGAACAGTAATTTAAAGTTGAGGAACTTCTAAAATTACACAGAAAAAAATCTCCCATTAGTATGTCAGTATTCTAAAGGGAATTTATACCAAAAACTTGTTCAGTTGCAAGGTTTCAGGCTGACCAGAAATAAATCTTTATAGGATTAATTTGCTCTTGTTGCTATTTCTCTAAATGTGTTTTTTTCACTTTAGCAGGGGCCTCAATGTGTTCAAGACATATATATGAAAGGTAGAGAACTAGTGGAAGAGTTGCAACTTTTTGAAGATACACACCTTACCATATCTAGACAGTAATACAGGGTATGTATGGTTTCACTTGTTTTTCGTTTTTTTTTAAACTTCTTCCTGTGTTAGGAAGTATTGATCATTTTCTACAGACTAGAAAAATTCACTGCTAAAGCACCTGGCATATATCTAAGGTGAAGGGAAAGCAGATATGACGTTTCAATTAAATTTGAGCGATTTCTAGTTTGGATAAAGAATGGTTGTGGCAATTAAAAATGGAAAAGCATTAGTAATGTACAATACTTGTAAATAACTTAAGTGGCATCAACTAGCATCACTTTTTTTTCTTTTTTCTTTTTTTTTCTTTTTTTTTTTTTTGGAGGGAAGGAATGTTAGTTCTGTAAATTACAACCATTGAATAAAAGAAAGGAAAGAGTATTTCACAATTTCAAAGCATGCATTTTGGGGGGTAAAATTATTTCTTGATGTTTGCATGCAAAACTAAATTCCTTTCTTCTTTGTGAGGAAGCTCTCAATTGTTATTTCAAACTTTCAGGAGTAACTGGTAAGTATTCAAAATCTGGGTTATTCCACAGTTAACTGGGTTATTCCACAGTTTTAAAATATTCTTTGCATTGCAATGTTTGGAAAATTGCCTTTCAGTTTTGTTCATGTTAATATATGACATTCACCAGTACCTTCCCCCTTCCTGGGCTATTACAGTTACATTTGTTACTATGTAAGCTATTGCTTGGTCATTAATAATTATTTCTATTGGGGGTTTTTCAATTTTATGAACTTCTACTGAAAATAGTATAGAACATGAAAAATTTTACCAAAACTAAGAATGCACTGACACCAAAAATAAATTTTAATTGCACTTAGTTCAGTGAATTTGTAATGCATTTATGTAGGCTCAAGGTTCGCTCAAGTTATCAGATGCTACTATAAGTGAAGTTTAAAGGTAACTTTTCAATGGCTGTGCCAGGTTATGTAGGTAAAAGCAGTAGATAGTAATAAACTCCTAAAAATGTTTTTTTTGGGAGTAGACTGATCATTTTAGCAGTGAGGAGCAGAGTATGCTAAGTGAGGGGACTATTTCAGTTCAGAATGCTGAAAAAATGAGAAAATTATTTCCTTAATTCTGGAAGGTAACTATTTCTGCAAAGAAAGATAAGGGAAACTTCTTCAAAGTAGAATAGAAAGCCATTTAAAATTTGAGAATTGTGAGTGGCATTGGAGCAAGTAGAAATCACACCATTGAAATGCAGTTTGTTTACTCTTGTTTCTTCTTTATAGAAACTTCATCCACACTTCATCAAAATGCAGCGGAGTCTGTTACAGTCTGCATCTCAGCTGGCTCATGGGACGTGTTGGTTCTTCCCTCGTACCAGTGTCTTTCAGTGCTTAAAAGGACAGTCTGCATTGCCTAATGTGGGATGCAAAGTGGTTCTGGCACTGGACCCTCCTAAACGATGTCTTCATGGAGGTGCAGCTCACTTTGCCTCAAAGAAAACTGCTTTTTCATCACAGCCAGCAGACACTTCTCACAAAGTACCAGAAGAGAGAAATCCTTTGCCTTCGGCCACTGATGCGCCCAAGCAGAGCCCTGCAGAGTCAGATTCTTCAGAACCTGATCCATTGCAAGATAAATCAATGAGTCTTGTTCAGAGATTCAAGAAAACTTTTAAGCAGTATGGGAAAGTCATGATTCCAGTGCACCTTGTGACTTCCTCTGTATGGTTTGGATCCTTTTACTATGCAGCCATGAAGTAAGTTGGTATTTTGTTGCAGTGCTCGATAGCATGGTTGAATTGAGATCTACTAGTGAAAGGACATGTGGATTATTATTGCATGTTAAAAAGTGCCTTTATATTTAAAAGAGAAATGTGGCTACATTTTTGACTAAAGCATAAAATTAATATTGAAAGTATATAGGATCCATGAGAGTGTCATGTACATACTATTACCATGCAGTTATTGCTGTATACCAGGTATGTTGCTGGCATTTAAAGGAATGCTCATCTCTCCAAAATGATAAATGGATGTAAACAGCATTAAAATTTTTAGTAATCTCTCAGAAGGTAAAAATAGGGACTTAGAATCATTATTATGAATGGCTAGTTGAGATCTTTATAAACCTTTTTTTTGCCCTTGGACTTCAGGTTACCCCTTCATCTCTGCTTCATCCCCAGTCCCTCTTCATATCTGGATTTTCACTTCATGGATTTATTTCACTTAGCTGTTAATGTTTTTTGTTTCTGTTTCCTCTCTTTCCTGCAATCCACTGAAAAAATTGCTGCTGTAGACCATACCTTTTAATTGGAAATTAAATATTTGTGTGGTTTAAAAAAAATATATCTATATATATAAATTAAGTATTCTCATTTTAGTTTCTTTTAGTTACAGCATGTGCTAGATACCACTCTGGAAAATGGCATTTATCAGAAAAAACTACATCAATTATGAGCTGCTAGTTTGCTAGTTCAAATGAAAGAGGTTTTATTTGTCTGGAAATAGTTTGCTAAATATAAGCAAATGTTTATCTCTGGACTGCTGGTGTTGTATATTTAATAATAGAAAGCATGAAACAACAAGGTTTGTGGTGGCAAGGATGGAACTCTGACATCAGAATGCCTTACTGCACAAGTGTTTGTTTTAGTTACTCTAACCAGCTGGCATAATTGCCCTTTCTGGGAGCTATAGATCCAAATGTCATTCTAAATTTAGCTCATGTCAGAGGAATAAAGGTCTTGAACCATAAAAATATTTTGCTTTGAATAAATTCAGATTGATGCTTATGTCCAGACATTTCAGATTGAGTGAAGATTACTTTTCTTGAAACTCTAAAGCCTGCTGCTAAAGTAGGTATTTGGCAGATGAAAACAACTGAAATATTCAACTAGAAACTAATTAAACTAATTATAACAAAGCTTCAGTTTGTTATGCCACAGGAGCAGTGCCCTCTTGAAGTGGAAAAATAACTCCCAGAATGACTGGTCATACAAGACTGAACAGCAGTGGTTCATGAAATGGCACAGTTCGTGCTGTCTTTCAGCTCCCACTAGGTCTCTGTTCCCTACTCTGGGAATAGGCCTTCAGACTGTAGTTCTAGTAACTGTGGGTAAATCACTGCCTGTTACAGTTCCTGATGCTAACGTGGTTGTATGCTCAGAAGAATGCTTAAAATATTAGATAGAAATGGGCAATGGTACTAATAATATAAAATCTCTAAATATTGAAAACTCAGGTCTTTTCTAACTGTGTGTAGCTTTCTTCTATAATATAAAGATGAGCTTTCCTTTCTTTTTTGGTGTTTTCCTGGATGTCAAATAGAAAGAAATTGTGATAGGAGCTCCCTCCACCATCTTGACACCTTATATTGGCACAGTAGAACAACTGAGCACAAAGCCCCTGAAATCTTGTCCATGTAACATGCTGCTTCCTTTTCTTTTGCCACATTCCATGTTTGATATATTTAGAAGTGAATGGAGAACATTGTCTGAAATTTTAATAGAAAAAAAGGTAATTTTAGGCAAAACAGAGCATGAAATTGGATGTTGCACAGCTGGAACCTGACTAACTGTCTTACCACCATTACATCTTCTTACCTCAAACATAAACTGGGACACAGGTAAGTTTCCACCCAACAGAGATAATATAAAAGGGTCACCTTTTGAAATGCTGAGAAGAACATTAATTTTCCTATGGTCAGAAACATAAATCCTGTAAGTTTATGGCTTAGATAAAAAAAAAAATTTGTTTTCAAATTATGAAGTTTGTGCAATAAAGAAATAGTGCTCTAAATTACTGTTCAGGTTTCAAATTCCCATTCAATGTTTTTCTCTTTTATAGTGGGGTGAATGTTGTTCCATTCCTAGAGTTGATTGGCTTACCAGACAGCGTAGTAGACATCCTGAAAAATTCCCAGAGTGGAAATGCACTAACTGCATATGCATTGTATAAAGTAAGTATAATTATAATTTGTAAATAAGCTCTAAGTCTTGCCTGGTGAACTAAACAGAGTTTACTTGTTTGCAGCAGAAAGAATTAATTAGCTTTCTTCGATAGCTACATGTACTTCAGCATTCGTTTTGTGGTAAAAATAGTCCCATGCAAGTTGATATGTGTTCTGTGTTCCTTCAAGGAGTCTATCTGTATTTCTAAAATAGCTTCTTTGCTGCAGAAGTATTGCAGCTCCCTGAGATGGCAATTAAGTTATTCTTCTGTGTCCCTGACATAATTAGCAGGGACAAAGAGGTGAAGTCTAAACACCTCATTGAATTTCAGATAAAAAGACAGTTATTTTTATCCTAGATGATTTTTTGTCTTCCCCTTAGATGTCCATCACTTTCAAGTATTTTCATTGTCATTTCAATCAATTACTTACATTCAGGTTGGGGTTTCCTTTTATTATTTTATATGTGCAAAGTCTGTGTTTGGGAAACCTGAAACATGTCAGACCATTCAAAAACAAGGTACAGTATTTGCTGTACATGCCACTCATTTGTTTTGTTTCTAAAAGTGATGTCCTTCTTACCTGTTGTCAAAGGGATTACTTTCCCAAACAAAATGTGAAAGTACAACTCTTTCCAATTTTTCCTGTGCCTAAAAGAGACCAATAAACAAATATGGTTATTAAATATAAAGATATTGTTGTAGCTGGGAGATGTGGCAGTGTTGGAAGAAACTCAGTGCTCACGTGCAGTCTGTTCTGAATTGCATCAAGATGCCGAATGCTTGTCCTACAAACTGCACAGGGAGGGTTTGTGCGTTGATGAGGTTTTTTTTAAGGAAAGTCTAATGCCCTTGCTGGCTCTGGCAAAATGATACTTTAAGTGAAAGGTATGCATTTCTAGGGAATGCACTGTAAACTGGCTTATTTCCTTATAAATTGAAGATATCTTTAGAAACTCTCTGGTCAAAATAAATTTTCAACATAAAAAAATACCTTTTGCTGGATGTTATTTCCTGATTTATCTATGTGGTGTGTTCTCTGGTTTCTTTAAGATTGCAACTCCTGCCAGATACACTGTGACTTTGGGAGGAACATCTGTCACTGTTAAATACCTGCGTAAGCATGGCTACATGTCCACACCACCACCAGTAAAGGAATACCTACAAGATAGGATGGAGGAAACAAAGGATAAAATTACAGAGAAGATGGAGGAAACAAAGGATAAAATTACGGAGAAGATGGAGGAAACAAAGGATAAAATTACGGAGAAGATGGAGGAAACAAAGGATAAAATTACAGGGAAAATACAAGAAACCAAAGATAAAGTTTCATTTAAAAAAATAAAGGAGTAGGAGAGATGCTTAATTTTTGGATATATCAAACTTAGCACTTTAACCCTTTGTGAGGCAGGATATGCAAAGTGCACTTCTGAGCTTTTTTTTTTTTTTCTTTTATATTTTTTACCCTTTGTCTGAAGACGACAATGCTACGTGGATTTAAAGGTTAAAATTCCTTGGGGAAGAGGTTGTGACCTGAAAGTTTCAATTTTCAGAAGGAAAAGTGAATCTCAGATTAGAAGTTAACATGTCCTTTGGTAATAATGTTAAGAATTACACTTCCCTCTTTTTTTCCCACACCCTCCTCCTCAAAATGAAAGCAATTTCTGCCAAGAGCCACTACTCTGTTCTTCTCCCATCACAGTGCACAGCCATGGTTCCACTAAACTGAGTCTTCCATTAAATAAGAATGAAGATTTCTCTGTTGGGAAGAGCAGCATGTTTAGCTTTTTAGAGTATGTGGACCCAAGTGTCTTCAGTCGTGATCATCTCTCAATTTGGAGCAGACCATTGTCACTGATACTGCACATGAAGGAACTGATGGATCAGCTGCTCAGCAGGAATTCATTACAATGGCTTCCTTGGCTTCAGCCAGGCTGCTGTGGTTTACAGGCTGAGACTATGAATCTTTCTTGAACAGTGCATCTCTTCAGAAATCTCAACTGAAAGCTATAGGAAGATGAGTTAATCACAGTAGCCATACTGTCAAGTACCCTTGGTTTCCTGAAGTTGATTTACAGTACAAAGTCATTAAAATTAATAATTGTATATTAAACACTAGGATTTGTTCATTGTGTTAAAGTTTACAAACCTACTCTACTTCATTTTTGAAACAAAAAAAAATTTGAAAAATAAGTTTATTTGAGAAATTGCTATACTAAGGGGCTTTTTAAACACATGGAAAGTTAGAGTTAAGGCCTAAAATTCCTCCTCCTCCCTCAGTAAAACAATTTGACTAAAATAAGCATGATTTCTGAGACAGTGATCACAGTCTACCAAACTTTTTTTCCCCTGGATTAAGTCAAGCAAACACTTATTCATACCTGAAGGCTGAAAGGTCTCAGATGTCATAAAGGACTAAAGTTGAAACTGTTCTATGTGGCTGGGCAGGCAAACTTCTCCAAGGTTTATTCAAATGTAGGCTGAATTGAAGTGTGTTTTTCCTATTTCTACTACAGATCTCACTTTTAGCAACTCAGCATGTGTAAGGTATTTAAAAAAGGTACTTTTTTCAGAGGGATATGGGGAAGCAATAGAGTTGGACCCTGAGCACTGCAATTGACAGAAGTGAAAAAATATAGCTGATGAAGTATCAGCTCTGCCCCACTGTCCCATTCTCATTCAAGTCACTGAGGGCTTCTCCATGTTTAACTGAGTTGAACTTCATTAACTTAATTGTGCAGGATTGATTACATACTTCCCTGCCTCTGCCCACATGTAAAATAGTAACTGCAATCTAATGCCTACCTCACAGGGATGTTGTGAGGAATAATCATTGTATATTCAGTGACCTGAAGAAGTAAAGTGCCATGTTTCTGATAAAAATTATTAAAAAATATTTCTGTGAACTCTTACACTGCTAAGTAGTACTGTTAAGGATGAGAGCTAATAGATGCTATTTTTTCTCTTTTAGTGTGCTTTTCCTTTACTGGCCCCCTGCACACATTCTGATGTTGGCATTTCTTCTGATTTCCCACTTTTGGGGGCAGTGTTACCCATGTCCTGCAGGACCTTGCAAAGCCCAAAGTGTGCCCCAGGAACATCACATGGTCACTCTGAGTCTGGGGCCACATATGGGACCCTTTCAGTGCAGCTCACAGGATCCATCTCTTTGCTCAGGGCAGGGATTGCACAGGGGCACCTTGTTGTCCTAGGATGAGTTTTTAGCCTGTAGACATGTTAGAACTTGTTCATTACACCACCTCTTCTTGCCCTTCCCCTTGCCCAGCTGGCCTGTGACCACTCCAGTGTTTATTGATCCATCTCTACTAATGCTAAGTACAAAAGCTGATTCACTTGAAGTTGAGTGTCCTGTGTGAGCATTTCTGCAGCTGCAGGAGCAGCTCACAGGGACTCTTGCCAAGTGCCCCCTCTGTGTAGGTGGTCAATTTTGCAGCATGGAGAAGCTTGAGGAGTTTCTGGGACAACCACTTCCTCCACCCAGTGTGTCAATTGACAAAGCACAGAGTTACATGGATCCATTTATACAAAGCAAGAGGGGAAATCTTCAAGTCTTTGGAAGTCTGACCTGGAGAGCTTTTGGGACAATTGGTCACATGCTTGGTTGTACCGGTGACCTTGTCTCAAACTGGCCTTATATGGAATCTCTGCCTCATTAGTGCAGAGAGCACCTGGGCAGTTTCCTGGGCTGCCCAGGGAATTGGGCCTCTTGGTGCACAGCAGGTACCCAGTATTCTGCAATTTTAACTCGGCTAAAGTTGACTTCCATCCTGTATCTCACTTGTAAATTATCTTGCCATGATACTAAGGTGCAGTTCCTGTTAGTGACAGTCAGCCTTAGCGTGAGTCTGCATGGCTGGCAGCCAGGGGCCACCACCCTTTGAAGAGGCAGTGTGCCTGCACTGCTGGCAGGCTGGGGCAAGCGAGGGGCACCTGGGGACAGCACAGGGCCTCCTGGTACCCAAGCCAGCACACTTGGCACACTCATGTGGCAGCAGTGTCCCTTAAGGTGGAACAGCATCAATGAGTGCCTTCAGCAGCAGAGAAGGACAGGGGAGCAGGTGCCATGGCCTGGGAAAGCAGTTTGGCTGCAGCACCAAGAGGCCCTGAGGCAGCCCACAAGTGACCCAAGCAAGGGAGTGCTCAGTGAGGTGAAAAGCCCAGACAGAAGCCCAGCAGCACCTTCTCTTGCCCATAGGACCATTCAGTCAGTGCTAACAGGGCTTGCCTTTTTACCTCTCACTGTTCAGCATCCTCGTGGGAAGGGCTGTCCCTTCAGGCTCTAGAGGGTGGGTGGGGGTGGTGGTCCCTCCACCTCTGCAAAGCTTCAGAAATCTGGAGAGACCAGGACTAAGACATCCATGACTACGTGTACAGCAGGGAAATGGCTGCTTTGGCAACCTCTCCCACTGCTGTCTGCTCCCTGCCTCACATGTAACACCACTGCACAGCATCACCAAGTCACAGCTTGCAAGGGGGCGGGACCTGAAACTGGGACAGTGCTCAACTGTAAGCCTAAGCAGGCTGGGCCTGCAGTTGTCATCCCAAGATGAGTCCAGAGTTCATGCTGTGATCTAAGCAGGGAATCTGTATCAAAATTGGGGCCCCAGGATGGAACCGGAGTAGATGTTGAGGTCCAAGCAGGGGGCAGATCTGAAATCACATCCCAAGATGTGACTGGAGCTGAAATTGCAAACCAGCACACAGCCAGAGCCGACATCACAACTCACTACTTGGCTCGGGCCCAAGTTGCTGCTCAAGATGGGGAAGAGACAAAATCAAAGCCCAAGCACTATCCAGAGCCAAAACTGCAGCTAAAGGTGGGCCCAGAGTCAAGATAACATCCCTACTAGGAGTAGAACAAAATTCATGGCCCAGTACCAGGACAGAACAGCTATTACCACCTGAGGCAGTGCCAGAGCCAAAAAATTCATAACCCAAGATGGGTTGGAACCAAAGCCATGACCAGAGATAGGGGCCAGAGCCTACACTGCTGGCAAGACTGCTGTGGCACACACTGTCTGAGCATGGACCAGAGCCAAATATCAATTTGAGGCAAGTAGTGGTCCAAGACAGGGCAGGAACTAAAGATTATGAAGTTTTAGCTCTCATGTTTTTTAGATTCTGAACTGCATTTCTATAACTGAACTTCCTATAAAGTGTTAGTAAGTTCTCTTCACAGCTGAAACGAAACAATCCTTTTCCAGCCTGTGAACCAAGGTCACTAGGCTCTTGTACTGCCCAAGGTGTAGCCTTTGAAGGCCTTTTTAATAAATAACTACTTTATTTCTCTTACTCGACTAGCTTCTGTTCTAGGCAGAACAAATCACAACCAAATATTGGGCCAGAGCTGAAATTGTGCCCAGAAATGCTACTGAGATGAAGCCACAGACCAACGTGGGCTACAGCCACAGCCACAACCTGCAATCCAGCCCTAGCCACAGTCACAGACCAAACAGGTACCGGAGCTGAAGTAGCAACCTGGTATTAGGCCAGACCTGTCTCAGAGGGCCGAGATGTGTCTGGAACAGAAATCATGGCCTGAAATTGCAATGGAGCTAAAGTCACATCTAGAGATGGGGCCAGAGCTGAAGCCATGGCCCAAGATTTCCCGTAGAAGCAGAATAACAGCCCCAGATATGACAAGGCACAAATAGCAACCCAAATAGGGGCCAGAGCCACAGACGTGCTCTGAGATTGAGCAAGAGCCAAAGATGCAGCAAAAATGGCACCACCATTGTTACAGCTCAGGATGGGGTTGGAGCTAAAATCACTGATAATAAAAATCACTGATAATTTGGCTGCAGCCAAACTTGTGCCTTCAAATGGGGCCAGAGCCAAAGTCACAGCTCAAAATGGGACTGGAGCAGAAGCCATGATTCTCACTGGGGCTGGAGCAGGGGCCAGAGCTGAAGCCCTGATCCAAAAACTGAGCCAAACTCATGGCCTCACAGTGGACATGGCTCAAAAATAGCCACCAGTCACTGAACAGGGAATAGGGCTGAAATAATCACTGCCCAAGAAGCAAAAGTTGCAGCCTGAAATGGGCCAAAGCAGAAGTCATGAACCAAGCAGGGACCAAAGGCAAAGTTGTAACTGAGTATCAAAGCAGAGACAAAGATGTGGATGGCCAGGTGGCCAGAGTCTAGGTCACAGCATGACACAGGACTGCAGCTGAAGTAGCAGCCCAAATAAGAGCTGAAATAGCCTCCAAATCGGGGCCAGAGCCAAAGCTGTGATCTACCATCAAGCTGCTGGCAAAGCATCTGGCCAATATCAGGCCAGAGATTAAGTCACAGCCCAATACCAATCCAGGACCAGAACTGCAATCAGAGCCAAAGCAGGAGCAAAAGCAGGAGCCCAAGGTGGAAATTCAGCCAAATTTGTGGCCTGAGCAATAGCTTAAGCCAAAGTTGCAGATGAAGATGTGGCTGGAGACAAAGTCACAAGCCAAGACAGGGCCAGAGCCAAAGCCATGGCCCAAACAGTGGCCAAGTCACAGCAGCTTCCTGAGGAGGAGTCAGACCCAAAGCCTGGGCAGACCCAAAGCATCCACCTGAACAATGGCCTGAGCCATTATGGCCAAAGACGGGGCTGATGCAAAAAATCTCAGCCCAGTGTTGCCACCTGAACAATGGCCTGAGCCAAAGTTATGGCCAAAGACGGGGCTGATGCAAAAAATCTCAGCCCAGTGTTGAGCCAGAGCTGCAGTAGCACCCTGAGGTGAGCCAGAGCTCAAAATGCTGCCATAGATGGGAGCAGATAAAGTCTCACTCCAATATCCCTACACAGCTGAGGTTAACAGCTCAATGTGGCACCAGTCACAGCCCAAGCAGGGAGCAGAGCCAAAGTTGCTGCCCTATGTCAGGCCAGACCCAGAGTCATAAACCGAGAAGGGCAGGGCAGGGCAGAGTCAAAGACTGAGCAGGGGCAGAGTAGACATGGGAGCCTGAGCTGGAGTCAGAGCCCCATATCAGCCTGGGGACAAGCTTGTGAGCCAAGATGGGACCAGAACCAAAGTTGTGGCTCAGGATGGGTCCTGGAGCTGCAACCATTGCCAAGGATAGGGCTGGAGACATGAGAGAGGCCCAAGGTGGCTCCTGATCTCTACTCAGAGCCTGAACAGAGGTCAGATCTACCTGATGGAACCAAAGCCAAAATCACAGCCCAGCCAGGGGGCCAGAGCTGAAGCCTGATACCAAGTTGGAGATGAAGATACAGGGCCGAGGAGCAGGGGCTGGAGCCCAGCTCGAAGAGTGATGTACAGCCAGAGTTAAACCTATGACCAACGCTGGGCTGGCACCCAAGCATCGGCCTGAAACAGGCAGGAGAAAAAGTTGCAGACCAAGATGGGGCTGAATGGAAACAGCAGTTCCACACTGGGCCAAAGCTGAATTCACATCCTGAGCAGGACCTAGAGTCAAAATCATGGTCCAAGATGGGCCCAGAACCAGAGTCAGAGCCTGACAGGGGAACAGCTGAAGTCTCAGCCCAAGAGGAGCTGAAATCTTGGCCTAAGCAATGGCTGGAGCAATAGGGAAAATGGGGCCAGTCAAAGTAATGGCCTGAACAAAGACCAGAGCCAGTCACAGTTGCAATTAGTGCCCAAGCTGAAGGTGCAGCTGAGCCTTTTGAGCAGGGTTGGAGCCAAAGCTGTGACCCAGTAATAGGCCAGAGCAAAAATAGTGACTCAGGATGCTGCTGGAGCCAAAGTTGAAACAAATTCCTCTGATTGTGTCCCCTTCAGGGTGTCAGCTTAGGGCATTGCATCACATTCATCCTTGTTCATCACTTACCATCAGCAACAATAATAATTAGAGAATTGTAATTATCCCCTGGCAATTAGCTGCCTATTTCTATGATCTTCTTAAGTAAAAAGAATACATCTTGATTT